CGCCCCGGCCGCCCACGGTCCCGCGCCGCTCAGGTAGTCGGAGCTCCTGTCACCTCCCCCCGCCTCGCGGCCCCGCCGGCCCGCCGCCGCGCCAGAGCCGGATGCTAGCTCGACAACTCGCGTCGGGCTTCTCAGGGATTCCCGGCGGAGCCTTGCCAGACCCCAGGGGTGGCGTCACCACAAACCCGAGGCCCCCGGGCCCCTCCTCCCCCTGCACCCCAATGCCAGGCCCCCCAGACGCCGACCTGGCTCTTCCAAGAGGCGGAGACAGCAGAACTCGCACCTGCTCTGCCCCGTCGAGAACCGGGTTCCCAGGGTCCGGCTGTCGTGGGGACAGCCTGACCACCTGCCCCTAAACCCACCAGATGCCCTCTTCTCTTCCCATTGCACCTGAACAGGGTCACACCCTTCACGGGCGGGTGTTTTCTTTGGAGGGTCCTGTGAGGAATCACACTGTCTGCCTCATCAGCCTTTGGAGTCTAGGGTGCCCTCTCTGGGGGCCAGAAAAAGCAGAGGAAGAGTTGTGTCTAGTCCGGATCTCGTAGGACTGAAGCCATCCCGGGAAGCAAAAGGTTAACATGCAGGATCCTGCCTGTGCCTCCCAAGGCACCCGGTCCATGGCACAGTGAGGTTGCTGGCGGCATTGTTGTTGGTGCAGGAAGAGTCCCAAGTGGAGAGTTGATTAGAAAGCTTACCTAATATGGGAAGAGACGGCTGTTAAAGAGGGAGAACCCAGCGTGAGGAATATGTACATGAGAGCTCTTTGCTTCCCATTAATCACACATCGTATTTATTGAGTCCTTCCCTCAATAGACGGGGAATGACTGTGGAAGAGCAGAGAAACCACTCCCACCCTCTTGGCCTTTGGAGTGTGATGACTTCACCTCAGTTTCTTTATCTGCAAATTGGGATCACCATAGCACTTCCCTTATGGGTAGTCGTCAAGGTGCAAAGTTCTTGAAAAAGAGTGATGCGGATGGGTGATGATTACATGTAAAACAGCCGGCATTTATTGGCCGATGAGAGTGAACTAGTGTGGAGGAGGGAGGTGCAGTCAGCTCTATTTGATGTGGAAAGAAACGGAGGCTCAGAGGAGGGAGCAGGGCCTTCTCACAGCCTTCTTCTCTTGCTTCCCTACAGCGCTCAGGAGCTGTCCCAGGAAATCAAGGCTTTTCTTACTGGCATAGACCCCGTTCTGGGCCACCAGCTCTCGGCCCGGGAACATGCTCGCTGTGGCCTCCTCCTGCTCCGTTCTTTGCCACCGGCCCGGGCTGCTGTGCTGGACCACTTGCGAGGCGTCTTTGATGAGAGTGTCCGGGCCCATCTGGCTGCCCTGGATGAAAGCCCGGTGGCTGGCCCGCCTCACCTCCGCCCACCCCCATCCTCCCACGTCCCTGCTGGAGGGCCTGGTCTAGAGGATGTGGTACAGGAAGTGCAGCAGGTGCTGTCCGAGTTCATCCGGGCCAACCCGAAGGCCTGGGCGCCTGTGATTAGCGCGTGGTCCATTGACCTCATGGGGCAACTGAGCAGCACGTACTCGGGCCAGCACCAGTGTGTGCCTCACGCCACTGGCTCTCTCAATGAGCTGCTGCAGCTGTGGATGGGCTGTCGGGCCACGCGCACCCTGATGGACATCTACGTGCAGTGCTTCTCCGCTCTCATTGGCAGCTGCCCGGACGCCTGCGTGGATGCCTTGCTGGATACCTCTGTCCAGCATTCCCCTCACTTCGACTGGGTTGTAGCCCATATTGGCTCCTCATTTCCCGGCACCATCATCTCCCGAGTCCTCTCCTGTGGCCTCAAGGACTTCTGTGTCCATGGGGGTGCTGGAGGCGGAGCTGGGGGGAGTGGTGGAAGTGCTTCTCAGAATTCCTCTACTGACCCCTTCCCTGGATCTCCTGCCATGCCCGGGGAAAAACGAGTGCCTAAGATCGCCTCCGTGGTAGGCATCCTGGGGCACCTGGCCTCCCGCCACGGAGACAGCATCCGGCGTGAGCTCCTGCGAATGTTCCATGAGAGCCTGGCCGGGCCGTCGGGGGGCCGGAGTGGGGACCCTGCCCTTCAGGCCACGGTACCCTTCCTGCTGCAGCTGGCAGTCATGTCCCCAGCTCTGCTGGGCACCGTCTCGGGTGAGCTCGTAGACTACCTCAAGCCCCCTGCTGTGCTGAGCCAGCTGCAGCAGCACCTGCAGGGCTTCCCCCGAGAAGAACTGGACAATATGCTGAACCTGGCCGTGCACCTGGTGAGCCAGGCCTCTGGGGCAGGTGCCTACCGCCTGCTGCAGTTCCTGGTGGACACGGCCATGCCTGCCTCAGTCATCACCACCCCGGGCCTGGCCGTGCCAGACACCGTGCGCGAGGCCTGCGACCGGCTGATCCAGCTGCTGCTGCTGCACCTGCAGAAACTGGTGCATCACCGAGGAGGGTCTCCTGGGGAGGGGGTGCTGGGCCCTCCCCCACCCCCTCGCCCGGTGCCCTTTCTAGATGCGCTGAGAAACCACGTCGGAGAGCTGTGTGGCGAGACCTTGCGACTGGAGCGGAAGCGCTTCCTCTGGCAGCACCAGCTCCTGGGCCTGCTCTCCGTCTACACCCGGCCTAGCTGTGGGCCCGAGGCCTTGGGCCACTTACTGAGCCGGGCACGGAGCCCCGAAGAGTTGAGTTTGGCCACCCAGCTCTACGCAGGGTTGGTGGTCAGTCTCTCTGGCCTCCTGCCCCTGGCCTTCCGAAGCTGCCTGGCTCGAGTGCATGCAGGGACTTTGCAGCCTCCGTTCACGGCCCGTTTCCTGCGCAACCTGGCCCTGCTGGTGGGCTGGGAGCAGCAGGGTGGCGAGGGCCCTGCAGCCCTCGGCGCCCGGTTTGGGGAGTCGGCCTCGGCCCACCTGTCTGACCTCGCTCCTCTCCTGCTGCATCCTGAGGAGGAAGTGGCTGAAGCTGCTGCCTCCCTGCTGGCCATCTGCCCCTTCCCTCCAGAAGCCCTCGCCCCCTCCCAGCTCCTGGGACTGGTGAGGGCTGGGGTGCATCGCTTCTTTGCCTCCCTGAGGCTGCACGGGCCCTCAGGCGTGGCCTCGGCCTCTCAGCTGCTCACTCGCCTCTCTCAGACCTCCCCGGCCGGGCTCAAGGCTGTCCTGCAGCTGCTAGTTGAGGGGGCTTTACATCAGGGCAACATGGAGCTGTTTGGAGGGAAACTGGACGAGGACAATGAGACTCTCTCCATGGTCTCGGCTCCTTTGGTCTCGGCCTCCCTGTTGGACACAAACCGACGGCACAGTGCTGCCGTGCCAGGTCCTGGCGGGATTTGGTCCGTCTTCCATGCTGGAGTCATTGGTCGCGGCCTCAAACCTCCAAAGTTGGTCCGCGCTCGGAATCAGCAGGAAGTGATCTATAACATCCAGAGCCTTCTCAGCCTACTGGTGCATTGCTGTAGTGTCCCTGGGGGCACTGGATGTGGAGGCACCTGGGGGGACCCCACCCTGAGCCCGGAAGCAGCCAAAACAGTGGCAGTGACCCTGGTCGAGAGTGTGTGTCCTGATGCAGCTGGGGCTGAGCTGGCCTGGCCCCCGGAGGAACACTCCCGAGCCACGGTGGAGCGGGACCTCCGCATCGGCCGACGCTTCCGGGAACAGCCCCTGCTCTTTGAGCTGTTGAAGCTGGTGGCGGCGGCTCCCCCGGCCCTGTGCTACTGCTCCGTGCTCCTGCGGGGCTTGCTGGCTGCCCTCCTGGGTCACTGGGAAGCTTCTCGGCACCCAGACACAGCTCACTCGCCCTGGCAGCTGGAGGCATCTTGCACCCTGGTGGCTGTTATGGCCGAGGGGAGCCTCCTGCCGCCAGCCCTGGGCAACATGCACGAAGTATTTAGCCAGCTAGCCCCATTTGAGGTGCGGCTGCTGCTGCTCAGCGTCTGGGGCTTCCTCCGGGAGCACGGGCCCTTGCCCCAGAAATTCATCTTCCAGTCGGAGCGGGGCCGCTTCATCCGGGACTTTTCTAGGGAGGGTGGCGGGGATGGGGGGCCCCATCTGGCTGTGCTGCACAGTGTCCTCCACCGCAACATCGACCGCCTGGGCCTCTTCTCCGGCCGTTTCCAGGCGCAGTCACCGGCCACCCTCCTTCGGCAAGGGACATAAGCTTTTTCACACCCCAGAGCCCAGGGAAGAAGAAACCACGAGAGCAGGTGGCAGGTGGCCACGGTGCACCGGAAGGGTAGAGGATTCTCTTTGAAGCCCGTGGCCCCGAGAACGCTGTCACTTTTTTTCCAATCCCTCCGCCCTCTCCCGCTTTTTTTTCTAAATAAAATTTGCCGAGTTGAGAAAAAGCCCAGAGCCTTGTCTGTCTGATGCCTCGAGCTAGCCAAGTCGGACAGCGTGCTGGGCTCCGGACGGCCCCGCCTCCGGCCTTAGGCCCCGCCCACGTCCCCGCCTCCTGCCCAATAGCTGGAGTGCGCACTCCGCCGTGGGGCGGTGCTCTGGCCGGGCCAATCAGAAGACCGGAAGGGGCGGGCGCTAAGGTACGTGGCTCAACGTGTGTGCGAGGGGGGGAGGTCCGGGGTCAAAGAGCAAACCCGGCACAAGATGGCGGCGGTAGCGGCAGTGGCGGAGCGGAGGAGGCGGTGAGGATCCCGGAACCCGGGGGGACGCCCCGAGCCCCTTCAAGCCCCACAGCCCTCCCTTCTGTCTGCCCTCCTGAGGTCCGGCCTCGCAGGGGTCCCTTTGTCCCTCTGGTCGCGGCCTCAGGTGCCCCCAGCCTCCCCGAGGCAGATCCGGGTGGCTTTGGGAGTCGCCTCAGCCCGGCGCCTCTAGATGGCTGCGGCTGAGCTCTCAGCCGCCCGCCGGGGCCTCGGGCGGCCAGCGCTGCCGCCCCCTTCCGCAGTGCGCCCGGGCGAGAGGCGAGAGGCGCGCCGGCCTCCGGGAGGGACACAGCCTGCGGGCCCTCCGCCCGCGGTCTGCACCTCGCCTTCGGGCCCCGGCCCGCCCCGGCCTCCGCCTTGCTTCCCGTGGGCACCCGTCTGCGCTTGTGCGCTGTCCACGGTCGCGGCCGGGCACCGCCGGCGCGGGATCCGGCGAAGTTCACGCTCTGCCTGGATGAGGAGGTCGTTCAAACACCACCTGGACTCGGTGGGGGTGGGGGGCCACGCTTTTGAGTTGCTACGTCCGGAAAAATGACTCGAATCCCATCACCGGCCCGGGAAACGTTTGCTCAGGCCCGAAGGGTGCACTGGGGCTGGGAGAGCCGTGTACTGGCCGTGAAAAAAAGCCGGGACCCAGAACCCGCCCCCTGGAAGCCTGTGCTCAGAAATGACAAAGGGGCCCCACTTGTGCCCATTCCTGAGTGCCTAGGGCCGTCAGCAGGGCAGATCAGGAAGTCTTATTAGACATCTGGCCCCGTGGGCATCTTTGCACACTCATTTTATAGGCTGTGCACTTAGAGGATTTAGCTTACTGCACTGCTAATTACTGCTGGTTGGGGCAGGTGGACCATGAGACCAGGGCCCAGGGCGGGTCTGCCTCAGGCTCCGTGCTGGGGCCATATGCCTTGCTGAGGTCCCCTGGGTGGCATGTTTTGCTAGTGGCTTGTCCCACCTAGCCTCGTGTTTCCCATTGACTATCAGGCTTGGCCCCGCCTTTTCTGCCTGGAGTGGGTGCCTTGCATGGACCCCCGGATCCAGAGGGCTCCCTCTGACCTGTGCTCTCCTTCCTGATAGTGGTCTTTGCAGTTGGTCCTCAAGAGGAAACTGAGGCCAGTATGCTAGGTGCTCTTACTTAGCAGCCTGTCGCCGTTACGTGGCACCGAGTTGGTTCCGACCCACAGCGACTTTCTGCACAACACAACGAAACGCTGGCCAGCCCTGCACCATCCTCCCAGTCCTTACTGTGCATGGGCCCTTTGGTGCGGCCATGGTCATCCATCGCCATGCTTAGCAGGCCTGCACACACACGAGCTGGCTCCGAGCCAGAGCTGACACGATGGCAGCTGTGTGGGTTCTCCAGTTCGTCCATGGTGGTTTGAGAGCACGTCAGGGCAGTTGACGGCCCTGTCAGTGGTTCATGTACGGACTTGGGTGCATGCGTAAAGTACGTGGTTCCCGGGGTTCCCAGAGCAGAACTCCTTCCCTGGCTCACCCTTCCTAGATGTTGGATCTTGGTTGGATCTTGGGTGAGTTATTGGTCCTTGTATGGCTGAGTTTTCTTCCCAGCCTTACACTCCACGTGGAAATCAGGAAGAGGTCATCCCCGGAGGCCCCAGAAGGAAGCAAAGGTTCCAAAGTTGACTGTAGCACTGATTGCACAACCATTCTTGATTGTGATGGAGCTACTGAGTGATAGGATGTGTGAATGAACTCAACTCAGCCACCGCCGGGTGCCGACTCACAGCGACCACAGGACAGGGTATAGAACCGCCCCTGTGGGTTTCCGAGATTGTAACTCGTTATGGGCGCAGAAAGCCCCTTCTTTCTCCCATGTTCTTTATAACTCGATAGCATGAAGGTCATTCTGAGGACTCCAGGCCATAGAACATGTGAAGAAGTGGTCCTGAACTCTGGTTGCTCCTTAGAATTGTGTAAGGAGCTTATAAAATAGGCTGAGGAGGAGCTTGGAGGTGGTAGGTCCTGGCCAAGGGTGCTGTAAGAAACTGCAGGCCACGTTGAGAAGCCTGGTAGTTGGCCTCTGAGGGTCTGGCAAGGCTCGGTGTTGTTAGGCTTCCCAGACTTAGGGCGTGATGGTAGCAAACCTGTTGAAGGTCAAGGGGCAGAGGTCAGAGGAGCAGGCCACCCAGAGTGCTGGGGCAGACAGGGCCTTCTGCCGGTGGCTGGCCCTTTCCAACTCCAGCTCCAGAGATGTTTGCGTGTGGACCGACGTGCTGGCTTTGTTTCTCGGCCCCCCCCCCCCCCCCACACACACACACACACGGTGCCATGGCCTCCCACGGGGACTGGCTGTTCCTGCTGTGCTCCTCAGGGAGGCTGATGTAACCAGTCCCAGTACACAGGCCAGAGCGCCCGTGTCCACTTCCTCTGCCTTCTGAAGGGAAGGTGTGAGGGAGCCTGCCTCTGAGCCCCAGGACCCCGCTGCCTTTTTCCCGTTGAGGGGGACCCCCCCCCCCTCTTCCTCTTTCTGTGCTGTCTTCCAGGACGGTGGCAAGGAGAGGCAGGGCCCTTCCTGACCCCGTACTGACTATTGCCTCTGTTCCTTTCTCTGCAGGGCCCAGCCAGGGATGGTACTGCTTTGCTTAGGGGCCTGCCTGGGAATGACTCTGGCTGTGGACAGGAGCAACTTTAAGACCTGTGATGAGAGTTCCTTCTGCAAGTATGCTGTCTGGGAGGGAAGGAGGGTGGGGCGGGGCAGCAGGTGGGAGAACATGGGAGCTCTCTGTGACAGATGGAGTCACCTGGGGACACTGCAGGTGATAAGAGGGGTGCCCAGGTGGGCCTTACTTCTGCTCCATTTCCCCTTGGCAGGCGGCAGCGAAGCGTACGGCCTGGCCTTTCTCCATACCGAGCCTTGCTCGACACTCTGCAGCTTGGCCCCGATGGCCTCACGGTCCATCTGATCAACGAGGCCACCAAGGTCAGGGGAGACACCAGAGAGTCGGATGGATGAGGGGAGGGGATACCAGTGTGATTTGGGGACTTTGACTTTGTGAGGAATTCAGACGCCCCCGCCCTTAAGGTCAGAGCATTCTGTGGGCAGCCTCTCTCTCCCGATGCGTACCTCTGCCCCACAGGTGCTGCTCGTGCTGCAGCTCCAGGGCCTTCAGAAGAACATGACCCGGATCAGGATCGACGAGCTGGAGCCCAGACGGCCCCGGTACCGGGTGCCGGACGTCTTGGTGGCCGATCCCCCGACAGCACGGTACTTGCCTCCTGAGACACAGACATCCTTTGCAGGGCCCTTGGCCCTGCCCCTGCCCCTGAGGGTAACGGCTTCCCCACGCGAGAGTCACAACCTTTCTCTGCCTCGTTCTCTGTGGGACTGGCTTGCCCTCTGCCCTGCATCGCAAACAGACCTGGGCCAGGCCAGGTAACAGGGAGGTGGAGAGCTTGCTCTCCAGGATGCTCCTCTCTCCTTCCCTCCCTCTTCCCTCAGCTGTTCAGAATATCCACTGCTGTCCAGTCGATGCCCACTCATGGTGAGCCTACAGGGTAGAGTAGCATTGTCTCCATAGGGTTTCTGAGGAGGTAAATTTGCATAGAAGCCGGAGATTCAAACCATCAGTCTTTCAGTTAGCAAGCCAACTCTTTAGAGCCCAGAATCAAAGCCCATGACTGCCAGGCAAAGCCCGGCTCCCAGGGACCCACCCTATCGGGCAGAGCAGGCTGTGGAAGCGCTGGTGGGGTTGAGCCCACGCTGCAGTTTGCCACCCGAGCACCATCTGTGTCTTCTGGTCTCGGGGCCAGGGAGATGGACGTTCACATGGCCTGTTAGTCCATTGGGCTAATAATTTTCGTGTGTCCCTATTTTCCTCCCTCCTCTTTTCCTCTGGACAAGGTGAGACCAATAGTGGCATTGTAGATGGCTGCTCCCAAGCTTTGAGGACCCAGTCACTCCTCACCAGAGGAGGGTGTAGCACATGGCCTCATGAGCTGCATCAAGCCCATTCACCTTGGTGTCCCCCAAACGATGGTCATTCCCCCCAGGCCCCTGGCTCGTTCTCTGAAGGTGTTTGATTACGTTCCTGTATGCTTTTCCACATCCGGGGATATGTTTGCAGCGACAGGAACTACACCGGTATCCTCTGCCAACATGTACATAGGGGTCAGAGTGGTTCTCTTCCTCCTCTCCCACCTGCCCCACCTGAGTGTCCAAGCGGTTCCATGTTGACTCGTAGATCCCCACCATGGCCCATTGCACTTCATGGTATTTGTCTGTTACCTGTAACGCTGGCGAATCTCTCACTGTCTGTCTGTGCCTCTGCTTCTTTCCCTCGCCCCTTTCACCCAGGTTAACCCTCGTCTAACGCTTGTCTGCCAACCCCTCCCTGCCACTCATCCTTCCTTGGCAACCATTCAAGCATGTTCTTCTCACATGAAAACCTGTCCTTGACCCCCATGTAACCGCAGTCTCATATGATGCCCGCCCTTTTGCGATTGGCTGATTGCGCTCTGGTAACGGACTCGGGGCTCTCATAAGCTCCCGGGGTCCCACAGACTCGTGGCGCCCTTTAATGCTGTGCACGCTCCCCAGTGTGCCCGCTCCCCCGTGTGCCCGCGCCCGTTGTGAGCCTCTCCCGTTGGTGGCCACTGAGTTGGTTTCCCTCCCTGTGCTCCTGTGAACTGAGTGCTGCGATGGCCAGGGGTGCATGGACCCATCCGTGTCGCGGCTCCGGTTTCTCCTGGGTATATGCCAAGGAGAGGGATTGCTACGTCAGGTCTAACTAGCTGTTTCTATCTCCGCCTGTGGAGGCAGTGCCATCCTGCTGTCCCCAGTGGTGGCTCCACTGGACAGTCCCACCAGCAGGGGATGAGGGTTCCCGGCTGCCCACTCGCCCCTGCTGCTCTCTGTGATCTGGGCCTTTGAGCGTTGCTGCGGTGCCGAGCTGTGGTGGTCTCGCCTGGTTTTGAGTAGCCGCGTGCTCGTCACGGCTCACAATCACAGCCTGTCTCCGTTTGTTTGGTGTCCGCCAGAGTGTCTTCAGTTGAAGTGTCTGCTCAGCTCCTCTGTCCGGTGTTGTTTTCAGAGATGAGACCCGTGGCCTGTAGGTCATGGCCCCCAGCTTTTTACCCCAGTCTGTGGGTTCTCTTTTCACACCTTTGGTGAGATCTTTTGATGTGCCACACGGCCTAATCTTTAGGGGGTCCTTGGTATCTGTTTTGTTCTCTGCTGTGTGTGTGTGTTCCATTATGTTAGATGGCGTACTTATTATGCCCTATAATAGGGGGCCCCTATGTTTGTCCGGTGGTGGTTCTTGGCTTTACATTTAAGCCTTTGGTCCTCTTGGGTGGGTTTTGGCATGTGATGAGATCTGAGATGAGGCTTGTACCATTCTTCTGCAAATTGAAGTTCCGTTTTGCCAGCTCGCTTGCTAGAGAAACCACGTCTTCCTCATTTAAAGAAACACAATGCTTGTTGTTCACTCATTGGAAAGTTGTGAGACTCTCCGGAGGATTCCTGTAGCCGATGTGCCCAGTGTTCCCTGCTGTCACCTTGCTGTGGCCCTTTGTCATCACGGTATTGGGGCTGAAGGCCATGCTTTCTTCAGCGTTTCTTGGCTTTCACATAGACTTTTTTATTTATTCAGGTGCACGACTGCAGCCAGGGGCCCCGGGGAGCCCCCCTCGTCCTGTCTTTACTGCCTCCAGACACTGCCCCTTTCTCAGACTTGCCTTTTTTTTTCCCAGTGACCCTAAAGGTGCCTTATGATGAATAGAAAGTCTTAATTTTAGTATCCTTAGGAGTTTCCGCCTTGTACATTGTGTTCTGTGTTATAGGTCAAGAAGTCCAGGAAAACTCGGGTTTATATCCCCACCCCACCCCACCCCCATGACCTCCGCCCCGAGCTTTAACTTTTAATGTGAAGTTCCGGTTTGCTGGGGGCTCGTGGTACCTGTGCGCGGTGGAGGTTAAGAGTCAGGATGGGCCAGGAGTCGTTGGGACACAGGGTCAGCGGTCATCTCTCTGCCAGGCTTTCTGTCTCCGGCCGAGACGACAACAGTGTGGAGCTGACGGTGGCTGAGGGCCCCTATAAAGTCATCCTGACGGCGCAGCCCTTCCGCCTGGACCTGCTGGAGGAGCGCAGTCTGCTGCTCAGCGTCAACGCTCGGGGACTCCTGCACCTGGAGCACCAGCGGGCCCCCAGGGTCTCGTGAGTACAGGGCTCGCCACTTGCGGGAACTTCGTGTCTAGGCACAGCGTGGGGTCTGGGAGGAGGCAAGGGCCAGCAAGACCACCAGGCAGGGGCTTGGCGCTGGAAGAAGCTCCGGGTCTCAGGGTAGGAAGCTGGGAGGGTCAGTGCCTCTGTGCTCTGTGTAGACTGGGGGCAGGACCCCGAGCACCAGCTCTGGGAGGGCCAGGGAGGGGAGGCCCGGCCCAGGCCGGCCCGCTGCCGCTCGCTACCTCTTCCCTTTCTCACGTCATCCCATCTCCCAGATTGATCTTTGTGCTTTTTTTGGTTTTAATTTTTGGTTTCTGTTTTCCCCCATCTCTGGAAGTTTGTCGACTGAAACTCATTTTTATGTTTCTGTTTTTGTGTTGGTTTTGTGCCTCCTTTTCCCCTTCCCAACCCACCTCCTCCTGCCCCAGTTTCTCGGATAAAGTTAGTGTCACGCTCCGTAGCATATGGGATAAGATCAGGAGCCTTTTCGCTAGGTAAATCCATGGCCACTGGTACTGTATGTGTTCCTCTGCCCTCACCCACCCTCTGCACTGGCCCTCAGGGGAAGTTGCCGGGTCCCCCCTCATGCCCTACCCTCGCTCCTCACTCCCTCTCCTTCCCCAGCCCTGTGCTGGCTGGGCTTCTGGGCCCCGTTCCCCGGGCTGGGATCCTCCTGGGGAGAAGGGAGCTGAAATGTTGGAAGTCCTCAAGGAACGGAGGGAGCCTCTTGCTTAGCCAAGGGGCAGTGAGGTGGCTTGGTTCTCGGCTGGGGTGCAGCTGAAGCACCGGGTAGAGCTGCTTACCAGCTCCCCTTGACAACCGGCTTCAGCAGAACCTCCTGTTTGAGTCCCTGTGTATATTTGTAGACCCTGGTATGACTCACTCACTTTTGTAAAACCCGTGTGTGTCAGGCTGGGAGGCCGAGATCCTGAGGGGCACTGGGAGCCGGAGTCTCGGGTGGCATGCTGGGTCCTGGCCCCTCCTGCTGGCTCTTCTGGGCTGGGGCCAGTTTGTGGAAGGCACCTCCTGGGTGGTCACTCCTCATTGCTCTGCCCGTCCTTTGCACGCACCTGCGCCCTGGGGTCCCTCCTCACGGCTCCCTGGGGTCCCTCCTCACGCTGCAACAAGTAGTCCCTTTCTCCAACGCCTTCGTTCCTTTGGACCCTTGGCTCTCTATTCCCCTACCCCTCCTTCCACTAGCCCCTCATCCCTGCCCCTTCTGGATTGGAGCAGACAGCTCTCCTACCTTCCAGGCAAGGATCAAAAGACCCAGCTGAGGGTGGTGGGGCCCAGGCCGAGGACACAGCCGGGGATGGTGACCAGGCAAGTCGGAGGGCTTTGGATTGGTGGAGGGGGCTGCTGGGAGGTGGGGCCTGTGAGAAACGAGTTCAGTCTCCTTGTCAGGGTGGGACTTAGAGAGGGGGGCCAGGTGGAGACTGGTGTGTGATTGGTTAGCGGGCCTTCTTCCTCCTTACAGCCACAGCCAGAGGAGACCCCGGAGAAGGCTGAGCCAGAGGAGTCGGGGGCCTGGGAGGAGACGTTCAAAACACACTCTGACAGCAAGCCGTATGGTGAGGGGCTGGCCGAGCCGGGTGCTGGGCGCAGGGAGGCTCCCATGCAGGCAGGCATGTGTGCTGAGCCTGCACCTCCTTTCCTGCCAGGGCCCACGTCTGTGGGTTTGGACTTCTCCCTGCCCGGGATGGAGCACGTGTATGGGATCCCCGAGCATGGGGACAACCTGAGGCTGAAGGTCACTGAGTGAGTCCCCTCGTGGCATCCGAAGACGGGAGGAGGAAGGGGAGGGTCAGGGACTCGGTGGGCTGTGCATACTGATGGGATACCGCAGACCGGCAGGGCTCACTCCCTGTGCCGGGTCCCTTTGGTGACGCGAAGTTGTCTCTGAGAAAGGGAAAGGGCACAGGGACCGGTCCTCAGCCCTCACGGTGGGGTGGGGTGGTGGCCAGTGAGTGACCCCGCTTTCGCTCTGCCTGCAGGGGCGGGGAGCCCTACCGTCTCTACAACCTGGACGTGTTCCAGTACGAGCTGTACAACCCCATGGCCCTGTACGGCTCCGTGCCCGTGCTCCTCGCGCACAGCCCACAGCGGGACCTGGGCATCTTCTGGCTCAATGCCGCTGAGACCTGGGTCGACATTTCCTCTAACACGGCCGGGAAGGTGAGGACAGGGGAGGCTGGAGACAGGTGGGCGCTGGCGTGGCTGGCAGAGGCTGGGGTGGAGGAGAACCTGTCATCAGGAGGAGCATCTGAGCTCCCAGGAGACACCCACGATGGGGGGGTGTATTAGTCTGGGTACTTTGGAGAAACAAATCCACGGCGACTCACGTATAAGAGAGAGTTTTATGTAAAGAAAAGGTGCATCACGAAAACATCCCAACCCAATGCTGCCCAAGCCCACAAGTCCAACATTAACCCATTAACCCAACACCAGTCCACAAAGTCCTCCACCTCACAAAACAGAGGCAATGATGCCGACTGCAGGAGGAAAGCTGAGTCAGTGAACGTGTAAGCATCTCAGCACTGGCAGGGGTCTCCACACGGCTGCTCCAGCACCCAGGGCTGCATCGGGATAGATCCAAGCGGCTTCTCCTTGGGGATGTCTTGTAGGAAGTCAATCTTGCAAGCTGAAGCAGGGAACTGCTAAGGCAGCTGCACCCGATGCAACCATCACAAAATGAGACCCGAGAACTAGAAAGGCGAGGCTTCACCACCCATTTATCCCTCCGCCTTTCAACCAGCACCACATGTGATTATCGGCCAGGCTGGCACAATTAACTAACTCAGGGGGGAAAGCTGCCCTCTTCTAGGTGTTGGGGATGGGGGCCGACAAGGTGAGGTACCTCCAGGGTGGTCAGTGCTGATGAAGGTGCGCTCACCTCGGACCTGAGAGGAAAGGACATGGTGCTGTGCTTTCTTAACGATTCCAGAAAAACTCACCGCCATTGTGGGACAGGTGGCCTCTGGCTTTCGGAGCCTGCAGCTCCATAGGGGAGTAGAAAGCCTCGTCCTGCCCCCAGGAGTGGCCGGTTTCAAACTGTGGACCTTGCTGGTAGCAGTCCGGGGAGCCACTCCTCCGGAAACGGTTACGCCCTAGAAAGCCGGGGCAGGGAGAGGGCTGCGGGTCGAGGGGGTCGAGGGGCTCGGTGGGTGGTGCAGAGCAGCAGCACAGAGCTCGCGGGGACCGGGTGCTCAAGACAGCCTGCACGGGAACCTGCTGGCTGAGGGCTCCGGGGAGGAAGCCCTGCTCTCAGCCCAGTGCGGACGGAGGCCAGCTGCCCTGTGGGTTCCTTGCAGACCCTGTTTGGGAAGATGCTGGACTACCTGCAGGGCTCCGGGGAGACCCCCCAGACGGATGTGCGCTGGATGTCGGAGAGCGGCATCATCGATGTCTTCCTGCTGCTGGGCTCTACCGTCACCGACGTCTTCCGGCAGTATGCCAGCCTCACAGGTACACGGTGCTCCTGGCTCTGCCCAGACCTGGCGAGCCCCGCGCCACCCCGCCCCCATCTCTGGGCATACTGACCCCCAGGTGGGGCCCAGCCCCTTTGTGACCCGCCCCTCCCTGAACCCACAGGGACCCAGGCATTGCCCCCGCTCTTCTCCCTCGGCTACCACCAGAGCCGCTGGAACTACCGGGACGAGGCCGACGTGCTGGACGTGGACCAGGGCTTCGATGACCACAACCTGCCCTGTGACGTCATCTGGCTGGACATTGAACATGCCGATGGCAAGCGGTACTTCACCTGGGACCCCAGCCGCTTCCCGCAGCCCCTCACCATGCTCGACCAGTTGGCTGCCAAGAGGCGGAAGGTAAGAAGGGCAGCACGGAGTCTCTGGGAGGAGACCGGGAGGCTGAGGCCCAGGTACCCCAGAGCGCCCTGACCGCCCATGCCCTGCCCTTAGCTGGTGACCATCGTGGACCCCCACATCAAGGTGGACTCTGGCTACCGGGTGCATGAGGAGCTGCGGAACCAGGGGCTGTACGTGAAGACCCGGGATGGCTCCGACTACGAGGGCTGGTGCTGGCCAGGTCGGCCGCCAGGACTCCAGCCGGGCGGGGAGGACGGGGAGGTTGAGTGGTGGCTCTGTGGGTCCTGGGGCTTGACGCTAGCCCTCTCCCTCTCAGGCTCAGCCGGCTACCCTGACTTCACGAACCCCTCAATGAGGGCCTGGTGGGCCAACATGTTCAGCTTTGATAATTACGAGGTAGGCAGCGTCTCGCCTTCCCTACCCTCTGCGCCTGTCTGTCCCCTGCAGCCCAGACTCTGGTGGTCCTGGGGCTTGTGGGCCGCAGAGGGCGCTGAGTGGCACATCACTCTAGAGCAGCGATTCTCAGCCTGTGGGTCGTGACCCCTTTGAGGGTTGAACGACCCTTTCACAGGGGTTGCCCAATTCATAGCAGTAGCAAAAAGTGATAAAGTGGCGATGAAAAGAATATTATGGTTGGGGGTCACCACCGCATGAGGAACTGTATGACAGACGGTCTCAGCATGAGGAAGGTTGACAACCGCCGCTCTGGACTCTGAGTTGTGCTCTGCTTCGACGGTTGTCGCCGCCTCTGCCCTTGGGTCCCATGCTCTGCTGTGTGTCCCCAGGGCTCGGCCCCCAACCTCTACGTGTGGAACGACATGAACGAGCCGTCGGTCTTCAACGGGCCCGAGGTCACCATGCTCAAGGACGCCCAGCACTACGGGGGCTGGGAGCACCGAGACGTGCACAACATCTACGGCTTCTACGTGGTGAGGGGCTGGGACGGGCGGGCGGGAGGTGCTGTGGGGGGAAGCTGCCTTCACTTCTCACCGTCCCTGTCCCTCCCCAGCACATGGCAACTGCCGAGGGGCTTGTGCTGCGCTCGGGGGGCGTCGAACGCCCCTTTGTCTTGAGCAGGGCCTTCTTCGCGGGCTCCCAGCGCTTTGGTAAGCTACGGTTTGGAGAGCAGGGACAGAGGGCAGTGTTTGAGCTGGCCTGCAGGCGCTGTGGGCTGAAGGGTCTGCCTTTGAGTGGTCCCTCCAGCCTGTGGTCTGCTGTGCTCGGCTTGCCGGGGCTTCCAGAGCTGGGCTCTTGGGCAGTACTGCGAGTCAGCAGGCTCGGGGGCCTCCTGAGCAGGTGGGCAGGTCTGAGAGGTCTAAAGGCTGGCCTGTGCCCTCTTTTCTATCCCGTCTCTTGCAGGAGCTGTGTGGACCGGGGACAATGCTGCTGAGTGGGATCACCTGAAAATCTCTATCCCTATGTGTCTCAGCCTGGGGCTGGTGGGACTCTCCTTCTGTGGAGGTGAGTGCGGGTGGAGTTGGCACGGGGTCTGGTGGGCAAGGGGCAGGGTGGAGGGCTCACAGCCTCCAGGTGAGTGGAGAGAGCTGAGGGTCCAGGCTGAGGCCTTAGGAAGCTCCTCAGGCAGCCTCTCTCCTTCAATGTCTTTTCCAACCTGCCCCCTCCCAGCGGACGTGGGCGGCTTCTTCAAGAATCCGGAGCCAGAGCTGCTTGTGCGCTGGTACCAGATGGGTGCCTACCAGCCATTCTTCCGGGCTCATGCCCACCTGGACACCGGGCGGCGAGAGCCCTGGCTGTTAGCGACCCAGTACCACGACATCATCCGAGAGGTCTTGAACCAGCGGTACTCCTTGCTGCCCTTCTGGTACACCCTCTTCTACCAGGCCCATCGTGAAGGGGTGCCCGTCATGAGGTGAGACCATCCGGCTGCTGGGGGCTGAGTGGGGCTGGCTGGGGGCAGTGGGGGCCTTGGAACTCTGGTTTCCAGGGGAGGGATTTTAGCAGGGAACATTTATGGAGTCTCTCCCCGGCCACATCCTGTTCATCAGGGTGTCCCCAGAGCCTCGCGGCAGACAGACCAGGGCCCCCACCCCACTGGGGAGCATACATTCTGATGAGTGGCCCTGTGAAGACCATAACCGAGTACTGGGAGTTCAAAACCAAATCCGCTGCCATCTAGGCAATACTCACTCATTATAACCCTCTAGGACAGGGTAGAGATGGCCCTGTGGCTTCCTGAGACTGTAATCCCTTAGGGAAGTGGGAAGCCCAGCCTTTCTGCTGAGGAGTGAAGCTGCTAGTGGTTTTGAACTGTTGACCTCGCAGTTGCTAGCCGAATGGACTCCTGGTAATGGAACTAGGTAGTCCCAAAAGGCCCAGAGAGAGCGGGTGCAGAGGGAGGTAGGCTTCTGTGCGGGCTGTGAGCAGGGGACAGAGGGAGTGCACAGGCCCAGAACAGAAAACACCATTGTCTTGGTGAGTGGGGGAGAGAGGGAAGGGCTAGATTCCTTTCTTAAAAAGGAATGCCCCCTCCATTTTTGGTCGGGGTGGCCCTTGCAGAGCAGGGTGATGCAGTGGGGGAGAGGGGGCTGTTGGGGGCTGTTCTCTCCCCAAGGCAGGCTAGGAGACTCAGGGCCAGGCAAGTGGAGGATGGATTGAAAGCCAGCTGGGTTGCCTGGCCTCAGCTCTCTGGTCCTCCCCAAGTTCTTGGGGAACATCTCTGACTTCTGCTGAATCTTCTTCCTTCCTTGTCTCCCTTCCTTCCCAGACCCCTGTGGGTGCAGTATCCTCAGGACGTGACCACCTTCAGTATAGATGATCAATTCCTGCTTGGTGAGAAAGGGCAGACTGGCGGTGGCGGGTTGGGATGGGCTGAGGAGAAGGAAGCACTTGTGGGGAGTGTCTGGGCGCCCAGCAGGGCAGGAGGGGACAGGGAGGCCAGTGGGGCAGGGTGCCTTGGTCTCCCCTGCTCTGGTACCTAGTGCTCATAGTCGGACTGCTGGCTGTGTTCCAGGTGATGCGTTGCTGGTTCACCCGGTGTCTGACGCTGGGGCTCATGGAGTGCAAGTCTATCTGCCTGGCCAAGGGGAGGTAGGTTCCCAGAGGGCCAATGGGGAAGGGTGGTAGAAGCCAAAACAGGCAAATCGGCGGTGGGCCCCTTGGCACCAAGTGACCCAGGGCATCATCTCTGCCGCCCACAGGTGTGGTATGACACCCAGAGCTACCAGAAGCACCATGGTCCCCAGACTCTGTACCTGCCTGTGACGCTAAACAGCGTGAGTATAGTATGCCTGGATGTTTCCAGAGCGGGGAGAGCAGTCTGGGGTGCAGGACCCCAAGGCAGGCACAGCTGGGTGAGAGTGAGCACACAGTGGGGCCTGCAGGTGGCCAGGGATGACTGTGTCAGCATTGCTCTCGCCCTAGATCCCAGTGTATCAGCGGGGAGGGTCGATTGTGCCACGGTGGATGCGAGTGCGGCGGTCCTCGGACTGCATGAAGGAAGACCCCATCACACTTTTTGTGGCCCTCAGCCCCCAGGTAAACTCCCGGCTGGGCGGGAGCTGCTGTCTCGGCCCCGAGCCGGACCCTGGCTCCCTTACTCTGCAGCCCTAACACGCCCTGCTCTCTGCCCAGGGCACGGCCCAAGGAGAGCTCTTCCTGGACGACGGGCACACGTTCAACTACCAGACACGTCAGGAATTCTTGCTGCGGCGATTCTCTTTCTCTGGCAACACCTTGGTCTCCAGGTAAGGTGGTCGCTCTTCCCGCCCTTCCACCGCCTTCCCTTCCGCCAACATCTCTCCCTGATGGCCATCTGCTCCTTTCCCCCGCAGCTCGGCAGACTCCCAAGGCCACTTTGAGACCCCAGTCTGGATTGAACGGGTGGTGATCATCGGGGCTGGCAAGCCTGCAGCTGTGGTGCTCCACACCAAAGGTGTCGGAGGGGGCTGGGCCTGAGGGTGCGCGGGCGGGCGGGGCCCGTGGGCTTGCTGGGCAGCTGGCTGGCCACACTGTTGCTCACACTATGACCCACGCTCCGCTCTTCCCCAGGGTCCCCCGAAAGCCGCCTGTCCTTCCAACATGACCCTGAGACCTCGGTGCTGACCTTGCGCAAGCCTGGCGTCAACGTGGCCTCCGACTGGAGCATCCACCTGCGATAACCCACGGGATGTCCTGGGTCAGGGCAGGCATGCCAAGCTGGTCACTTCCCTCAGCCTTGGAGCCTGGCCCTGCCCAGCCTGTACCTCCCTAATTCTCAGACCCAGATTTGGCCCACACCTGGGCAGGATGAGAGGGTTGCCTCGGGCCCTGAGTCCCTCTTGTGACCTCCTGACCTCTCCACACCACTGACCCCACGCCCACTCCCCACCCCCGTCTTGCCCCAGCCTCCTTGTGTGGGTGGAGCACAGCATCTGTGAAGACCCAGGGACCACAGGGCCCTTGTTTCCCCTCCGTCCCTTCTGGAGGACCCTGGGTGTCCTGCTCCAGGCCTTGCCCGGTCCTGCCTGGCGAGAGTGAGGACAGGACATGGCAGCCCTCGCTCACCTCCCACCAAAGTGCCCCCTCTCCTCCTGTGCTTTCCTCCTGGTATGCCCCCCCCCCCCAACACACACTGGGACCACCTCCCCTCTAAGGGACAAACCGACCGAGGAGCTGGGGGCCCCTTTCCCTTGCCCGCCCTTGCACCCTGCTCCCTCCAGAGCTGCTGTGGTTCCAATAGGGGTCTGCTCCATTTGTCCCTTGGGGGAGAGAAGTTTTCCTCCTGAAGAGGGGGAGGTGGGCATTAAACTTCTTGGCCCCCTCTTGGCCCCTTGGGGGGGTATTCAAGATGGAGAAGTCAGTTTGTGGTTTCATTGAATCACGGCCACCTGTATTTATTGCTGGGAAAAGGCTGAGGGTGGGGGGGACGATCATGCGTGCCCAGGGCTAGTTGGAGCCTGGGTAGGGGTGGGGTGGGGAGACTTAACGGGGGGGAGGGGGGTATCTGTGGGAATTTTTTTACTTCTTGGCCCCCAGCTTCGACACGTTTTGATAAAAGGAGAAACAATAAAGAGATAAACCACACACACTCAGGCGTCTGGATTCTAGTTCTGGCCACAGCCCCAGAGCCCCAGGACATGGGCTCAGGGGACACCTTGTTAGCCACAGGCCCAGGCCCCTTAGCTAGATGCTCATGCGGCGAGGAGAGCAGGAAGGTCATCGGGTTGTAGCTGTGTATCCAAGTCACAGTGACCCTCCCGGATGGGGCAGAGTGGCGCCAATGGTAAAGCACTCGGCTGCTAACCGAAAGGTCTCTGGGTCCACTCGTTCCCCCTGAGAATTACCTGGCACCCGTCCCCCCAGACAGTCACTCTTGCAGCCACCAAGTCTGGATTCCAGTCTGCAGGCACAGGTCTATCTCTAGACCTTCCCTTCTGCCAAGGGCCGCGTGGGAGCCCCAACCTTGTAAGTTAGCCACGCTTAAACAGTGTGCCACCAGGACGCCTGTCAATGTGGTTCCCAAGTGGCTCTGACCTAACCCCATGACCCAGCGGGCTTGCACGAAGAGCTGCCTCAGAAAAGCACTTTCAACAAGTGCCCAACGTTTTAGAGACGCGGTGAGCAACCACCTCGGGTTACTGTGGGATTTTTGGTAAGAATGCTTAGCCTGGTGGGGCAGTGGCGCTTCTCCAATGGGCGTGCCCCAGCTTGGCGATTTCCAGTTAGTTCCCTTGGAGGTCACCCACTGGAATCACACCCGTGTCCTTCGTCGATTTATGTCATTTTCTCACCACTGCCTGGCTGAGGATTCTGAGGGCCACGTGGGGAGCGAGGAGAGTCCAGCACAGGGACTGCAGTCCACACAGCCCCACCCCACAAGGCCGTGCACTTGGGGTCCCCCCCTCACGTCGCCCCACGTGTGCCCACCCGGCTGCTGACAGCTGGCCACGCCGGAGGTGACGTCACCCATCCCGCTAATACCCGGAACTAGGCGGTGGGACCGGAAACTCACCTCCGAGGGGCGGAGGGGGAGCAGACTGACCGGAAGTGGGCCCG